TTCCCCATCGCGGGAGGCGGTGCAACCGACTCTCTTGCCGAAGCCACAGCGCCACCAGCGCTTTGCCGGACAGGCCCAGCGAAGCCAGCGGCGATCGGATGCTTGCAGCAAATCCCCGAAGGCGGTTTCAGCCAGGGCCTCTCGCGCTTTCCGTCGCCCAAGCGTCCCTTGACCGGCTGCCTTCAAGGAAGAGACGTCCCAGGCGTCGAACGGCGCCAAAACCGCCGTCGTCAAACCGGCGCCCGTCGGCGACGCTCTGAGGCCGAGGATCAGGCCCCAAACGACAGAGCCCGCGACGCGCAATCCAGACCAGCCACAGAGTCCGCCTAGCGCCGCACGCAGCGATTGAGCAGGCCCGCATAAGTCATCGGCAGGGCGTATGACTGCACCTCATGGCGACACCTTCGCCGATCCGCGGCGAAATCTCACCTGAGGCCTAGAGGCCGCCCCCTCTCGTGGATCCCTTCCCACCCCACTCTGGACCCCGCCAATCCTCGACCCGCCCTCGCGGGCGCCGCCCCTCGCATCCCCACGCTCGCCATCCTCGCCTCTCCCCTGCACCACGCCACAAGCAGCAAAGTTGCGATCAAGCCGATCGCTCCGGAGCCACCCCGGCGACGAACAATGAACAGGAACCCCAAAAAACGACAAAAGCCACTGCCCCCCTTCCGCGCCCCGATCAATCACCTCCGCCGATCGAGCCGTTCGCCAATGGCCGGCGCCGAATCGCCGTCCGCCGATCGGCGCCTCGCTGCCCGGGATGCTTTCCGTCACCCCGGCGCCTCGCGACGAATGGGCTGCCGCTTTGAGCGACGAAGGAGTTGCGCGCGTGTGCCAAGGATCGGCCTGAGATTGGCAGCCCGCGGCGCCGGCTGTCTGAGCCACAGGGCGAAGGCTGGCAAGGAATCGGCGGCCAGGGGGCTTGTGTGCCTGGATCGCGAGGCGGGCGCCGGGTCCCGATCCCGGTGCCCGTCCCGGGATTCGGCCGCCGGTCATGACTCACTGGAAGGCACTGCTGTGTCCTTGTCATCAGGAGATCTCAGGAATGATGGGCACTTGCACATCATTCTTGAGAGTTCAAGGCGAGGAGGTTGTGATGAGCTCCTCATTCGACCGAGCCAAGCAGCGTCCGTGATTTGTCCCACGAGGAATGCTTGGCGCGAGAGGGAAGGCATTGCTTCAACGCAGCCGCCAAGTGTGTTATGCTGGGCTGGTGTCGTGAACGCCACCGCTTCTGCGCCATGTGTGCAAATTGGCGGTGTTCATGAAACCAGTCCCAAGGTCATAAGGATGGACTCCGTGCCATAGCGCTTCCACTCAAGCGGATGTCACGATGCCAACGAGCTAAGTGCCCCAATATTTGGTCCTTCACTCGTCAGTTCAAGCAGTTGGACTGGTTCCGCAGGGCCAGAGAATGGTTTTTGCGCACAACCAGCTCGATTCACCATATAGCCCGCGCTCGTGCCTCCCAGAATATCGTATTATCTGATCAGCCTGGGGAACAGGTCACTTGCTTGAAATTTGCGAGTGCACAAGGGCAGTACTATCGACCAACGCTTGCCTCTCGGAATTTTCACCGCCCTGTTTAAACAGGGACAAATTTGTCTTTCCTACGATTCATAGGCCGCTTGAAGCTGTGGCTCGCAACTCACTGTCGGAGTGGCACAATAGACTTGTCAAAAATCTCTTTCCATTCTTTGCTTTCACTGCAATCGTGGCTTGTTCGGGCCATCCCATGCAGTTTGTACTACGTACAAAAGATGCACGTCGTCAGCCGACTGGACAAGTGATCCATCCAGTAGATCTGTGGCCATTATGTGGTGTCACGAAGAGTGGTTAGTACTAGTACTAATACGAGTTGTATTCAGTACTGAATACACCCGATGCTCGCGATTCGAAATCATCTTGTTAACAACGTCGACTGTCGTTAGCAGTCCAAATCATCTTGTTAACGGACTGGCAACGCTACCAGTGGCCGTGGCAGTTGAAATGTGTAGGGAGCACATGCGCTCCATGGCGGGAATACATGTGCCCTATGGATACTTTACACACAAGAGCCGGCTACAGCAAGTAACTACCGGCTGCCAAGGAATCCACAATGTACAACACCACTTGCGCTGCTGTGCATTCGAAGAATGGAGGATGCGTGGAATCCGAGAAGGACACGCGGATGTGGGAAAGTTTTCACTGCAATGGAGCAGTAGGGAATAGGAAGATCTCAGGCAAACAGTACCCTGCAGAACACACTCCATATGATAGATGTCGAGTTGGACAACTGATTGTCCGATTAAGATTACATTCCAACGAAACACAAGCATCACCGGCGGTGATTAACCGCAACAACGCCTCATTCTCCACATTTTCCATTGCCCTAGAGCACTGAGTAATAAAGCATGAGATACGGCCATTTCGCCCATGAAATAAAACGAAATCGCATCGCAACAGCCCAAAACGTCCAACGCCCTTCAAATGGACCTATTGAAATTGAATGTAATCGTTGTTCGACGGAGTCCGAAACACCCTATATCTAAACCTGGCGCATTGCACGACGGCAAGCTAAACGACTTGCGAGCGACGCAATCCATTTCCGTAAGTTTCCTGGCTTCATGTTTTTGATGGCCGCATCCCTCGTGCATAGTGGGTTCAGGTGCACCACGGGTACTTGTCCAGCCTGAGCAACACAAAATGTAATTCAATTTTTGGCTTCACACACACAACAGTTTTGGTGAGCCAAATCGCAGCAACACGTTCAAGGTGGTCTCGAGGCTGTTAAAACGTCTCCAGCAAGTAATCATATGCCTGGGGGAGTCTCAAATGAGGACGACGTTTCTGCTGCAGCGTCACATTAGATGTGGCACTTCTGCAGATATGGAACGAAATGTATCGCTCGTACAATGTGGAGGGTACTAAATGCATTGCATGTGTGTGCGCAGCATGTGCTCGGTACTTTAGAAAAATCTTGATGTCCATTTCAAGGGCCTACGCCACATTACCGTGTGCAATTGTTCAATCTGTAATGGTAAGGGTCGCTCACGGATATACATGTTCCAAAAAATGGCTGGCTTGATCTCCGAACGCGCCCATTTGTCTCTCGAAGGAAATGCGTGCTGCCGATGGCAAGTTAATTTAGTCATGCCCGAATTGGTTGTTGGAAATCACTAGTGAAAAACAGGCCAGATGACACAGTCCTGACACGGTCTGCTCAAAATCCAACCGTGTAGTTTCGGCAAATATGGTCCCAAAAGTACACAGTTAGTACACATATTGACACAGTTTCAACCGTGTACCCTCACACAGCTGTGTATACTACACGGTTTCCTAGGGTGCACGGTTAAAACTGTGTCAATGTGTGTACTAAATGTGTACTTTTGGGACCACATTTGCTGAAAGTACACGGTTGGATTTTGGTCAAAACGTGTCAGGACTGTGTCATTTGGCCAGTTTTTTACTAGTGAATTTCTTTCCTTTTGAATGCTGCCTCGCTTTACAATGCTTTCAAAACCTAACGGAAAATGGATTTTCACGCATGGCAAATTGCTGAATCCAGAGGCCGGCCTGTGTATATGCTGCATGCGCAGGCTCTAAATACAGCCACACACGCGTTGCAGTTGATTAAATGCGTAGAAATCCTGCCAGGTGGCAAGCCTGCAGGAGGTTGCACCTTCATTTGGCTCGTGGATGCCCTCAATCTCGCATTCGTCTATTCCGTTTGCACAGCATGCTAGCAAGCGTAGGCAACCTGCCTACTGAATGCGCTCTACATATCTATCCACTTATTTCTCCGGTGCTGAGTCCAAAATGCGACACGTGGGATGAATTTCCAGACAAAACAAACCTACGCGGCGAACTGCGTTACAATAATGTTACATTGAAAGTTAAGGATGTGGCTAGCGGCTCCCTGTTATTTGACTATGAAGTTGCCCGCAGGCATTCCAACTCAATACATGTTAATTCACATGCCACGACGATATGAACAAATGCAGACGGTCCACCAAGACACGCTGTTCCCAATCCAGACCAGGCCCACGGAGGCGGTGACGGAGGCGGTGACGGAGGCGGTGACGGAGGCGGTGACGGAGGCGGTGACGGAGGCGGTGACGGAGGCGGTGACGGAGGCGGTGACGGAGGCGGTGACGGAGGCGGTGACGGGTTAGGATTGGGCGGTTGGGCCTTAGGGTAGGGTGGGGTTGGACAGTTAAGGGTAGGAGACACCTCCGTGCGAGCACGCGAGCATCGGGAAAACCCACCGGGATGCTGCCAACACACTACGTAAATCCACTCCAACGGGCGGCACCGCAATGACCCAAAACTCTGTTGCGAGCCCTCCGCGCGGACTCACTCGCTGTCCCGCCAGGCGTAGTCCCCGCGGCACTCCTTCACGGGCCTGCAGTCCCCGCCGGACATGCTGCAGGGGATGCCCTCCCCCCGGCCCCCTGAGTGGCACCAGCCGCAACCATCAATGCCCCTCTGGGCGCGGCACGAGCGAATGTTCCAGCACTTATGGCTGCACTTGTCTCCGTACATGCCCAAACTGCGCAAACAGCCAAACGGGACGCCGTCAGTGAGCGACAATCAAACTTTCACAGCGCCAGCCTTGGGGAGGCGACGGCAAGATGGAGGACAGCGTTCGGGGATCGCGAACGCGTTGTCAATCGAGGAGTCTGGTTCCACCCTAGACCAGACTTTTCCAGATGAGATCTCGTCTGCGCAGCCATGACGCGCAACGGCGAAGAGTATACCTACAAGAGATACCAAGGCTAAAGCACGCCCGACAAACGTATTTGGCTCCGTGTGTTTCCACGCTTGTCGGACTTGAAGATGGAAACAGAAATCCAGTATGCTGGGATGAAAAGTCCCTGGCACCCACAGTGGGCCAGCCAACTCAGCCTCCATCCCAAGTACCAAGTAAGTGGGTTCGACGAAGTTGTGACGCCACATTCGCACACGCTGGACGCACAGAGGCAGCAAGAGCATTCCACCAACTCGGTGGTGTTCAGAACTCACTCTGAGTCCCTCCAGAGGTACTCCCCGGGGAAGTGGGCCACCGGCTCACATCTCCCTGTAAAACCCCTCCTTTCGCACGGGATGCCCCAGCCGCCGTCGGGGTGGTCCCTCACGTGGCACCAGCCGCACTCGTCGATGCCCACTTGGTCCCAGCAGTACCTAAGGTTCCTGCATCTGTCGTTGTTGATCACCGCCCGCCTGTTGCACTTGTCGCCGTAGGTGTCCATCCTGCGGCGGGCCACGCCAAACGTCAGGGACGTTGTTTTCGTGAAACTTAGCCAAGTTCCAAGAAATCAGTGGATGCATGGATTGCAGAGGACTGTGAAGGAGTGCAAATTTGCATGCACGTGGGGTACTCACTTGCTGTCCTGCCAGAGGTACTCGCCGTCGCAGCTCATCACGGGCCGGCACTCCCCGTCGGAAACTCTCTCGCAGGGGATGCCGTAGCCCTTGTTGGGGTGGTTGTGGTTGTAGCACCAGCCGCAATCTTTCAGGCCGTTCTGCGCGTGGCAGTGCGGCAGCTGGTAGCACTTGAAGTAATCCGGCCCGGCGCTGGCCTGCGCGGAACGGCGCACCCCCATGGTGACAATCAGGTGCCGATTGTGATTCGCTCATCAGCGGCCGCTTTCAGTGCCAGCCTTGTGAGAGTTCGCGCGAGAGATTGCGGACAATTGGTCAGGGACACGACACCACGAATAACACGCGCTTGCAATAGCACACCAATGGCAGACAGCCTTGCAATCGCCGCACGGAGCATTGCAGTGACTCAGAGCGCAGGTAGCATTGCAGGCACTGAACAGAACACAGCGCTTGCGACGGCACAGGCCGCAGGTGGCGTTGAGATCACCGCGTGGCGATCGGGGAAACCTACCTCGGCCATGGACGCCAGTGCCACGGCGCAGGTGGCCAGCAGCAAGCCTGCGAGAAGCTTCATCTCGGTGGCGAGGGGCACGGCGGTAAGGCGGCGGGTCGGCACGAGCTCACTGGGGTCGCCGGGATTAGTCGTCGGGCGCAAAACGACGGCCTGTCTGAATGGTACGGGAAGGCCGCGAATATATGGGGCCCGGGGGTGTGAGGGGAGCTGCGGGGCAGGTGGTCGACTGGTGATGTAAAGGGGGGCAGCACGAGGGCGCTTAAGGACTCGGAAACAGTGTGGCGATGATTACGGCAGTTTTGTGCCCGCGGCCTATGCGGCCACAAACCTCCCACAACATCCCATGTTCGGTACTGCGGTGGGGATCTTGAAAATGCAGAAACGCCGGCGCGCTCATGGTGATCCGGCGCAACAGAGAGTGGCGAGTGGCGATTCCACCGTCACACATTAATGGGTGACCTGCCCTGACATGAACAATCAAAACATGGGCTGGCGCTGAACAGGGCGTTAGGAAAACGCAAGATGTCTCCCAATCCAGGTCGGGAGATAACCATCATTAATTCTGCAGTATACGGGAAATACGAAGCAGCCATGGAAGCATTCTCAAGGGGATCTGCAGGGCGCAAGGTGTGGCCGCTGGCGCTCATGGGTGCAGCCGAGCGTGTGCTCGCTGAGCTGGCACTGGCACGGTCAAACCCCTGCCTTTCACTCTGTTGAGATGCTGTAGCATCTGCGGTAGACTGCAGTTTCACCGAAAAACTTGAAAGACACTACCTCGCTATGAAATGATTTACACTAAATGGAATCTGTTGCATCACCAGAATTCGATGAATACTGCTCCCCAGAGGCGGGCGATCAGCGTGGATTGCGCGGTGCGAGGGCAAAAGATGGCTTCTTCATGAAGAAAGCTGATCAGCTAGCCCTAGGTTTCTATTTTCCGCTTTTAGCTCTTCACACTCCTCAGGCCTGTGACATTGGTGACCATACAACAACAAAGATGGCCCATATCCAGAACTCTTTGCTTTCGTCTCTGTTTGGAATCTGTGGAATACTTGTTGGCCAATGGCGTAGCCAATGCAACGCGTGACGTGTTTTCACCAGAGATCAGTCCTCCGCACTCGACACGAGACTCACTCAGCGAAGAGGGGGCGAATGCCATCAAAATTATGTATGGATGTGATGACGATGGCGCTTCATGAAGGGCCAAGACCCCTTGCACCTTCGCCGCACCAAATCAGTCACTGTTCGTGATCAATAAAAATAAGAGATTCGCCGCAGTCTGAATGTGCTTGTCCGTTAGAAGCTCCGTTCGCACGCCATCAGGTCATTCTACCCAGGCTTTTAATTTACATTTAATTTTTGACGCGCAAATACAACAATTTGCAGAAAGGTCTATTTTTTCGGCCGTATTTACATTTCTGCATCACGCTGAGACACATTGGTTACACAATGAGAGTCGCGTACATATACGCGATCGTTGTACAACGATCAGTCCTCCGGCCACTCGAGCATACTCAACATAGCGCCCACCTGGCCCTCAACGAGGACAACGGCGTCGTCCACCAAAAGTTCGTTTTCTGCCCACTCCAGCGCGTCTCGCTGCCACACCCCGGACTCATTAAGTCTATGTGTACAGTCTTACGTATACGGACCGGTATTTACGTTGTGTTTACGTACTTTCCCCCCTTTCGCGCACAAACGTAAATACGATCTCTGTTTACAACGGGTAAATAACAAGCCTGTTTCCACCATCGTTGCCATTATTTTATCGCGACCTGGCGAGGTGAAATCTGAACCCACACCACATCCTGGCCATTAGCAATTAGTCTGACCCATCACCATGGACACATGGGATCATCGAAACCATGCAATTTGCAAGTAACGTACCTATCACTCCATCCACAACTAAGCTTCGACCGGCTGATAGGCCAAACAGTACGTTGTTCCCATATGTTGGCTCTTGACTCGATTACTCAAACCCAAGGCCTCCATTGAATTTCTTGGCGGTTACAAGAAATGTTGAATTTGGGGAATGAAGATATGAAGAGTTTTTGATTATCAATAGTAAAATTGACAACTGTTGAAATTTCTTGCGGACTATTCACGTATCGTTTTTGTTGCCCGTATGTATCGATAACATTGATCATGTGCTGGCTGTATGAACTTAACCATTGGCCGCGCTGTACGGCCAGATTTACACGGTTTAGTCCCATTTAGCACCTGCTTGCTGGAATTGATTTCATTTAATGTCGATGTGTTGAATTCTAATATGCCAAGCTTCGCTTCAACGCACTTTACTCAAAATTGTGCGAAGTTCTCATAATATTTTGACAAAAATCTAATCTTTCAAAATTGGATTCTCTTGGACGTCAATTTCCCACAGCGATTGCAAACGCACGTGTGTGTGCACAAGCACATTCCCGTGGAGCATATCGTCAAACCTTGACGAATGACACCAAACGGTCTAAGCAAGAAGTACAGCAATATCCACAGGGTTGACGGCAATTGGGCATTTTTCGACTGGCTCGGGCAGGGAGTATACTATTCCAGCATAAACTTGTAGCTGCAACCCGGTTACAAGCTGCAATGCAGCATCGAAGTATAGGCGGCAAGGTGAACACTGAGAAGGAAACGCGGGTGTGAGGTAGAGGATTTATTGTAATATGCGACACAAAACAGGCAGATCTCCGACAAACGTGCATTCAGAGCACACTGCAGGTAAATTTGATGAAATAGAACAACTGACTGCCAATTGAGCATTACATTCCAAAGGAAAACAACCATCTCGGAAACAATGTCGCTTTCTCAAAAGTGCCCGTTGCCTCTGATCACTGAGCAGTAAAGCGTGAACAGCGCCATCTTTTCAATGAAATGACAAGACATCACGACACCAACCCAAACGCCATGCATCTCTTCAAATGTACATATTTGAATTCAGTCCAATCATCGTCATCTGCTAGTGTTCGACGGAATCCCAAACGTACTATGTCTCAAAAGGATGCATGGTGCGACGGTAATCTGGAACACTCGGGGGTGACGTGAGCCATTTTCAACACCCAAAGTGTTTTGTCTTCGATGGTCGCATTTCTCGCATCACTCGTGAATAGTGCTCTTAGGTGCACCACGGGTACTTGTCCAGCCTGAGCAACATAAAATGTAAGTCAGTAATTGTTTCCACACAAAGTAACAGAGTGGTGTGCCAACACGCACCAACGCAGGCAAGGGCTGCTCGAGATTGTTTAGGATCCAGCAGGGTACAATCTGCGTGGGGCAGTTTTAAAAGATAATGGCGTTTCTGAAGGAGCGTTGCATAAATTGTGGCGCTCATACCTAAAATGAATCAAAGTGCCCACCTATGCATTGTAGAGTGTGTTGAATACATCTTGAGTCCGTGTCTCGCGTGTACCGAGTGCATTATTAGTATCTTGATCTCAATCTAAATGGTCGTGCGCCCCGTTTCCATGTGGAGTTCTTCCATCTTTCCATGCGCGTCACCGCCACGACGAGATCGAGCAAAATGTGTTGCGGGCGCTCCGCGCGGCACTCACTCGCTGTCCCGCCACGCGTAGTCCCCGCGGCACTCCTTGACGGGCCTGCAGTCCCCGCCGGACATGCTGCAGGGGATGCCCTCCCCCCGGCCCCCTGAGTGGCACCAGCCGCAGCCATCGATGCCCCTCTGGGCGCGGCACGAGCGAATGTTCCAGCACTTGTGGCTGCACTTGTCTCCGTACATGCCCAAACTGCGCACACAGCCAATCGGGACGTCGTCAGTGAGCGACAATCAAACTTTCACAGCGCCAGCCTTGGGGAGGCGACGCCAAGATGGAGGACAGCGTTGGGGGATCGCGAACTCATTGTCAATTGAGGAGTCTGGATGAACCTTTGACCAGACTTTCTACACGAAATCTTGTGGGCGCCGCCAAGATGCGCAACGGTCTAGGGTAGATCCCCAAAAGGGGCCAGGGCCAAAGCACGGCAACAAAGGTTTTTCGCTCCGTTCAGTTCCATGCCGTGCCCGACTTGCAAATGACAACTGACGTATGGGATGAAAAGTCCCCGGCACCCAAACAGACCACGGCAGCCCGCTGGGCGTTGAGTGCTCGATGCCAATATTAAACACCAACCAAGTAGCGACAGTGACTTTTTGTGCCTTGACACCGGCACACGCCAGACGCACAGAGACACCAGGGGCTTTCCCCCAACTCGGTGTTGTTGAGAGCAACTTACTCTGAGTCTCTCCAGAGGTACTCCCCGGGGCAGTGGGCAACGGGCTCGCAGTTTCCTGTGAAACCCCTCCTTTCGCATGGGATGCCCCAGCCGCCGTCGGGGTGATCCCTCACGTGGCACCAGCCGCACTCATCGATGCCCACCTGATCCCAGCAGTATTTAAGGTTCCTGCACATGTCGTTGTTCTTCACCGCCCGCCTGGTGCACTTGTCGCCGAAAGAGTCCAGCCTGCGGCGCGCCACGGCAGCGTTAGGGCCGTCACTCTCATAAAACTTGTTTAAGTTCCAGGAAAGCAGTGGGTGCATGGATTTACCCAGGACCGTGGTTCAAATATGCTTGCGTGGGGTACTCACCTGCTGTCTTGCCAGAGGTACTCGCCGTCACAGCGCATCACGGGCCGGCACTCCCCGTCGGAAACCCTCTCGCAGGGGATGCCGTAGCCCTTGTTGGGGTGGTTGGCGTCGTAGCACCAGCCGCAGTCGCTCAGGCCGGTTTGCGCGTGGCAGTGTGGCAGCTGATAGCACTTGAAGTAGTCCGGCCCAGTGCTGGCCTGCCCGGAACGGCACACCCCATGGTGACGATCAGCTGCCTACTGTGATCCGCGAAGAGCGGTCGCTTTCAATCCCAGCCTTGGGAGAGTTCTCGAGAGAGATAGCGGAGAATTGTGTCAGGGGCACTACCGCGTGGATCATAGGCGCTCGAGATAGCACAGCAATGACAGGGAGCGTTACAATCACCGCACGCAGCACTGCGCTTGCAATGCCACAGACCGCAGGAGCCCTCCATTCACCGCACAGGACACAGCGCTTGCGACGGCACAGGCCGCAGGGAACGTTGCTGTCATCGGGTGGCGATCGGCGAAACCCACCTCTGCCTTGGAGGCCAGGGCCAGGGCGCAGGCGGCGAGCAGAAAGCCCGCCAGAAGCTTCATCTTGGCGGCAAGGGCCACGGCGGCAAGGCGGCGGGTCGGTGCAAGCTCGTTGGGGCCCACAGCAGGAGACGTCGGAGCGCAGGCGACGACTTGGCTGACTGCCGCGAGACGGCTGCGAATATATGGGCCCCAGGGTATGAGGGAGCTGCTGGGCGGGTGCCAGGCTGGTGACGTAAAGGGAGGCACCGGAAGGGTGCACAGAGGCGCCAGAAAGTGTGGCGGTTATTACGGCAGCGTGTTGCTCGCGGCCTGTTGCACCCAAACCTCCCCCCGAACTAGAAATAGGGAAACGCTCGCGCACTTGCGGTGATCCGATGCAGCAGTGGAGGGCCGAGTGGCGGCTCCACCGTTAGACATTAATGGGCGACCTGCCGGGATTCGATATTCCCGGTTGTCAAAGTTCCGTAGCCATCTCGCTTCGAGATCCCGCCGTCACAATTGAATGCGCCCAGTGATGCGCCACAGCACGGCATGGATGGACGCCGTCGAGCACAGGACGGCACCAAGTCAAACGCTTTGGTTCAACCTCAGTGGCAACTTTGGTGCACGGGGTGCCCAAACGCACTCGCCGTGCTTGATCCAACAAGCAGCCAAGACTCAACTTGACTTACAACCAGACCAAGAGAAGCCACGAACAAGACTCGGGCTGTACTTAAATACCAGAGTACGCTTCGTTTTCGCCCACCTGAATTCACATCAGAACGGCAGGCACAACTCACACACTCTCATGCGCAACATGCTACCCCTTAGCACCGACCCACAACATGGCCCACGGTACCGAGTCGCAGTTCCAATTCATAGCACCAACTCATGATCACCAAAATTGGCAAAACTGAAGCTAATCTTTGGGCAGCAGTCCTCCGCCATCTCGGTCAGGTCGACGAGTGCATCAGCCAGCCAGCGCATGACAAGCTGCTTGCACAACATGTCAAGTGCGGCTGTCCTGATGTGTCAGATTCTCATGTCAATCTAGGTTCCCTTTATGTATCCCTTTTTCTCATTGAATTTCACAGGACATCGGTGTTCAGCCACCGACCTCTACTTGTATAAGCTGGAAAGTTGCAAGTGAAGAGAAAATGTCTGCCGTTCAGTCATGTTGCAGATGGCATGCCCTAAAATGAGATCTTTAGATGCCGTCTTTTAATTCAATTTAATTTTAATCATCGGATTACAAGTCGGCAATTGACCGAGCCCGTTTACTGGCCAATTACCTGCAATCTGAGCACCATTGTAGGCAGGTTCTGGGCACAGTCTTGGAGAAACGTAAGATCTCCCGAAAATCCATACCAGGGGTATCATCCTGGTTTCAGCAGCACAAGGGAAAGGTGAAGAACACGGGGATTCGCAAGGGGCAAGTCGTGGCCACTAGTGTGGCGCATGCGCTTGCTGCACTGGCGCTGTCACGCCCCACTTTTCACCCCGTTGGAACGCCGATCCCACCACCGCTAGCCACTACATGCTCGCAGGTCGATCTGGGGAGACTATGGGAATTGTAGAGGTCGACGGGAGGTTGGAATAGCTGGACGTTCACCCCTTGTCCTGTCCACCGAATAGTTCTAGGCAGGGCGTCCGCCCCCTGCCATCATGCTTGGGTGTCTGGCTACGGCCTCGCAGGGCGTCGTGTATGGGCATGTCAAGCCGTTTGCTGTTGAGAAACTGGACAACAGTTTCCGTCTGGAGTTCTTTATGGAATAATCACTGCGCAGCTTGATGCAAAGATTCTGGGCAAAATGAAGTGAAGGCCTCACCAAGTGGTGGTGGTGGTGGGGAGTGGAGTGGCAGTAATGCCACATCTGCGCCTTTGTGCCTTTCCAGTCATGGTGCTATAGTAACGTTACTCACCATTTTATCAGTGCACACAAAATCTGTCTCTTGTAGATCATCTTGGTGCTTTCTTGCCAGTCACACTGCCATCCAGAGGCTAAGAAAACCACATGTCACACAGATGCACTTTGCAACACAGTCCATCGATTGCTGTGGCACCTGGTGGACAGCACGTTAGAATTCTTCTGAATGGCATCTTCCTGATCTCGAGCGTCGCACACTCAACACCAAGCCATCCCACACGGCACAAAGGATGTCAGAGTGTAGCCCACTGGAAGCTTACTGATCTCAAGCTTGCAAACACCTGCAGAGGTAAACTGCGCCTACCCTCATCTTGCAGGTGCAAGGGCCTCTATGCCTATATTTTGCAAACACAACAAACCAGACATTCATGTTCCCGAATTGTTGCACTACCCAGAGCTAAATGTTGTGCAATGGGCCACCATTCCTGTTGCTGAAGCACAACGCCAGAGTCACGCTTGCTCAAAAGGCGACAGAAGCAGCATTGGTGGAGCAGCATCGAGGGAGCCCTGAGCCCAGGGCATACACTGTGCCCTATGCCATCCACGCGCAGCAACGATTTGATGAACAATGGATGCATCCATTATCCTCTTCGCCTCTGTTTCCTTCCTTTGTGCTGCTGTGGCACCGCCGCCTGAGTCGATGCCTCGACCTCCTTGGGATCCATGGAATCTGCAGCACACATCACAGCACGAATGTTGACCAGCTTGGTAAAACATACTCGTACAAATGCTGTCCATGGAATCGCACCAGTCATCGCCTTGAAGCTGCAAGGCACAAAAACAGCACTGCCGTTGTGTCTCAGCAAGTGCAATCGGATAGGTTGGGTGTAAATGCTCTACTGCCAGGCTTGCACAACTATTGCACACCTATGCCAACAAGTAAAGACCCCCCTTGCTTGCATTAAACTAGTTTTGGTAACAGGTGCCTTGTTCAAGGGGAAGTACTTGTAACATTACCAAGTGCATCAAAAGGCAATCTTGTGCCATACGTTGATACACATAAGTTGGGGAGATTTCCACCAGTACGGCTTTTGGCTGGGCTCATTATTTGTTGACCTTTTGACTTAAGTGTTGTCCCTGCATGCGATCAGCACACACTTTGGGCATCACTGCCCTGCACTGTCTTGCAATGTGGCAAAAGACCCATACCTGCTCATACAGGACTACCTATACGATCTTACCTTTTCAATATGATACTGAAATAAACGAATGAAAGGGCGGTTGTTTCAATACCAATTGGAAATCATTTATTCCAGGCTGGTTCACCACATTTGCACAATGCAAAGCTGCTATCAATTGCTGGACAGCGGCAAAAGCAAAACACGCGTCAGAAACAGAGTCCCAAAAAAACAAGAGCATCACAAAGACCATGCTCAGGAAGGCAGTGGTAACTAAATGTCAGCTTGTCCTTTGAGTTCAAAACACATTTTGGTGCAAGTTCCTGAGGGCGATGGGAACACAGCGAGTTGGGAGCCGGTCTGGCTCGGCCGAGCTCGCCCATCAGGTGCAATGGCTGCGCACTGTCACGTTGCTGCCAGCTGCAATCAACTTTTCCACAGCTATCTGGAAGATTCGCAACTCTAACACTTGCAATGCTGTCTCAAAGTCAGAGTTCTTCAATCCGGAGCACTCCAGTGCCTCAGCGTGAAAATCTGACCAGCCGATCCGCCACACCCACCGGCACCCTCCACTCCCCGTGCCATCAGCGCAAAGAATCTGTTGTTAAATCGCTCGATGGCTTGCAGGTCAGACTGCTGGTCTGTCGTAAATTTCAGACACTGAACCATAGACAACAGAAGATTCTTTACAACAAAAGGTGAATCACCAAATGGGCGCTCCTGCCCAGAGCACTGGTGTTGACGAGAAGTTTTTTCCCATGCCCTGAAGAATGGTGTGGGAATCCACGATTCCAACACCAAAGCACGCAACAGTCATAGACAGCACTATCACCCCAGGTCGCATACAACGCCTCCTGTGCTGATCTCCTGGATGTTGCATTCAGTTTCAGGGAGTTCCAGGCATGGACATTCGCTGGGGTGGGAGTCCGATAGCTCTCCGGATCGCCGTACAATGCGACGTCAGAAAATCCTCCCAGGGCAACAATCTCCGCGGAAGCGAAAACGAACATTCTGTGCTGGCGCGCAAAATCGCAGCCGCCGCAAACTTGCGCCCGTTCCAAAGTTTGGATGGACAGACATTTAGCACAGAGGAGCATTCTCGGCCATGGCCTTTGTTGAGCCCAGCCTGTTCGTTCGCACTATGAGTTCTCCGATCGCATACTCCACACCCTACTTCATAGCCTAAGGTCCCCTCCCGGTGAAAAAACAGGAAATCTTAGGTGCCGCACAAGGGGATCTCCACCCACCGTCCTGTCGTCCGTGACTTTGAGCTCCAATTTTCCGTCGCAGTGCCTGTACTTCATGAGGTAGCGCGTGCCCAGGGGGTCTTTCCTGTACAGCTCCTCGGCCTGCGAGGCGAACGACTCCCAGCTGCGGAGATACATCTGGGCGCGCCAGGTTCGAAGGCCGGCGGGCAGGGGTCTGGTGCACAAGGGCGGAAACCGGCGCGACCTAGTAGGTCGGTCTCGACATGCGGAAGTGTAGCTTCACACCGCTGGCCAATTGATTCGCATTGCTCCCAATTCGAAATGGGATACAGTAAGGGCCCCAGTATAGCGCGACCCCAAATAGCGCCCCCCTTTGGCTTGTCACTGTTTCTGTAGTACTTTATGCAGCTTCGCTGCTCAGTGGGACCTCAAACTACTATTGTGGACACCCAAGAGAGGTGCCCGGTGGATGGACGCCACGGCGGCCGACTGTTTCAGTGAGCTTGGCACATCGGCGGACGGCACGTCTGGTGCAGGGCCGTTTGCCAGCATTGGCCATGGAATGGGCACTCACGGCACTGCGCAGGATCGTCTTAACCGGCGTGTGTGGGTTCAAGGTGCTCAAGGTGCGCAAGGTGCACAAGTTGCGCAAGGCGTCACCTCACGGTGGGGGCGTGGGTGGCGGTCCACAATTTACTTGTATGGTGGCCGCTGCGTCTCAACTGCTGCTTTTTTAACACGGGGGGAACGCTGGATAACGCAGGGGTACTCCATCCATAACGTCCCCCGCGTTATGGATATTTGCAGAAATGCTCAATGCGGGGGCCCGTTATTCCCCGTTCCCCATGGGATGATTGACCCAAGCCTGGTTGGGCAGAATCCGCATTCATAATGCGGGCAATGCCGTGCAAGTCCACGTGATGAGTTGTGACAGGCACCGTGTACCGTCAATGCAAGCACCAAGCACGTTGTTCAACTAACACAATGGCACATGGTACATGCGTTTGATGTGTCAATTTGGCATCTCAACAGGCCGCAACACAGCTAATGGGTTTATTTATTTCGCGTCTTCTTCTGATGGAGAATTTTATCTTATTACTAAAGCTACAATTAAGTGCATTAAACAAATAAATATTTTAGCGCCCCCGGCCCCCAATAGCGCCCCCTTTTTGGCCATGTCACGGGGGGCGCTATATAGGGAACCGCTACTGTACTGTTCGCATGAGCTACCCATTTTGCGATAATGGAGCAGGAACACGTCTTCGTCGACCGTAGGCAGCGATACGGTGCTCATGAAACCAGAGCCCTGCCTTGCGTCTACATGGATCGTGCACTATCATGATCTCTCGGTGCACGTGCTTTTAGGTATTTTCGTATATCCGCTCAGCGCCATACCGGCGCGATCGCTGGGCAGCCCACCGCTTTACGCAGCTGCTCGCGCCTTTTGGTGCGTTCTAGCGTGCCACGCGGCTGTGATTCACAGCATCATGCGCCTCTACGGCGCAGAATCGTATGTGGCCTATGCGTCGACCTTGTCACAGGTCGCGCAGAGCTCTTTTCAATGTGTTTTGGCGACAATGCGCTTTTCAGCGAACCGCGCGGCTTGTTCGGCCAGCTGCACAGCCGCGGCTTTGGTTTCCACAAGAGCGAGCGGGAAAAAAAAAAAAAAAAACTAGACGCAGGAGAGTGCGTGCGGCATCCCGTGAGGTGCCATGCCAGGGTCGGGAGACACGATTCAGACTGGAAAGTTGGGTTCTGAGGCCCTTACAAAGCAGTCATACAAGCACAGGTGCTGATCTTCCCCCCAGAATGTCTGCCACCCAGCGAATTTCCCCACGGCACGGCCGATTACTCCACACGGCACCCAACGGCGACCAGCACAGCCCTACGAAACCCAGGCACAAGCGAAGGGTAGAATGGCGACCCTACAGCCATGCACGGCTCTTTCGTAAGACAGAAAGGTCCCTTGAACCCCGAAAGGCCACATATGGCCACTTCAAAAGGGGCAGCACCCCTCCGATCTCACTCACGTGAGTGAGTGCACGGCGCAACCACAAATTCACGACTCATTGCATACTCAGATTGCACGCGCTGAACATGACACTACTGTACAAGACTCCCGTCAGCTCAATCGTTGAACCCTCCCCATATTTTACTGCACTTCAGTAACTTGTTACCAGTACTAAACCAAAGAAATGGCTACCACTTTCTCAGCGTATCAGCCACCTTCAAAGGACGTCTTGACTTTCCGATTTCTACTTGTTTACTTAAGATGGAATCCAATCCATCATAGGAAAAGGGTCCAATGATCAATCTTTTCCTCCCATGTTCACACAACAATTCCCGCAATGTTTTACAGCTCCTGAGGTAAATCACAACCATTTGAAGTGCAATCTAGGACTTATGCTGATACTGCTTATTCACAAAGGACGACCCGTATCAAATCATGTAATGTTCAATGACGTATCATCCTCCAACTAATAAATTACTTTCTCCCCTTTTTCAACACAATAATTCTGCTGACCTACCATCCCAGTCAGCGTCATTTACCATCACAGAATGCCTCCGAACTTGCCCTCTTGCTGCCACAATGCAGCCCATGAACATCACATCCATTGTTCAAGTGACGATGACAAAATACTGCACAAAAAGACACCATACTTCACGGCACTTCCCAACGCCCTGGCTCAGCACCTGCCCCAATGTACTCTACTCTTCCTCCTGAACATACAGAAGTTATAGAGTACTATACAGAAGCAGATGGAGTGGCTACCTACGGTGCATTATTGCAGCTGTGCAAAATGCATAAAAAGGAATGGGCTTAACAATATCTAACGATGTCAATTCTTATCAGGACATGGTTACCCGTTTGGCGAAGTCCTGCGACATTGCTGCCACACTTTCCCATGTCTTTTAAAATAAAATTCTCAGCGTTTTCTTATTCAACGCTTTAGCGCCGACAGGTTCCAAAGACATTCCTGTCTGAAAATAGCACAGAGTCCTCTGTATGCATGCACCACCGGCATGCAGACCTAAAGATAAACCAACGCTCCCGGCCCGCATCCTTCCTCCCTTTCAGGACCATCCTTTGTTCCTTGTCTTTTTTCAGTCCTGCGCCTCTAGTGTTTCACACAGTTATGCATGTCTGACATGTATGCCAAGCCACGCCAAGCCAATTGTACCCCTTTCCGGTGATGTCCTGAGGTCACGACACACACAGGGCTCCATAGCAGTGATGGTAAAACAATTTCCACATGTTGTAAAGGTCGATTAGGTGCCAGCCCTCCCTAGACCGCTGACACGACTCCCTCATCCATGAGAAAAATGCAGCATGTATGTCAGGCATATTACAGCCCTCTAGCTTCCATGCATGTGCATTCCTGTGGGAGCATCAAGACTTCACCATATGGCAAAGGACTTCGCCATATGATGCATCATCATCATCATCATCATCATCATAATCATCATCATCATCATCAAAATCCATAGATTACATTAGAACTTCACCATGCATGTCATGAAGATTCGTTAAATGTGCGTGCGCACTTCTGTGCGCGTCAGACAGTGATAACCGCTCCGTTTGCATGAACCCTGTGCCACAAGTGCATTTCAGGTCGCAATTTGACTGGACGTAACTCTGTGGTCACATATGTGTCACATGTGTTCATGCCCGAAACCCCCCTTTTTCGTGCAAGCCAACAAAACATGTGCCCTCCCTCGTCAGTTTGGGCGGTCTGAATCGCCCCCAAGGACCAGATCACCACTGACACGTCAAGTGAGCGCGGCTTGCTCACACAACCTGCACACTTACGGTGCAAGATCTCCCTGAACCATCTTAGGCCTGAACAGTCTGGGGAGCTGAGCAGTGACATGAGCATTTTCAGTGCACAGAGGTACTTCCTCTGGTCGGCTCCTGCCTCCTTCACCTTTCCCGGTGAAACTCACTCCCAGGGCATTGCAGCCCTAGTATTTACAAGAGGGTTCTCACTTTTTCTTCTCTTTTTCATCAGCAATTGTGGTTTACTGGGCCATCCCATGAAGGGTGTATCACGCATACGGACGACACCCGTCGTTATCCAGCTACATAAATGAGTCACCCAGTGTAACGGTTCTCATAATCATGTGGTTTCATAGAACAATATGTCGGTTAGGCGTTACGGCTTAGGGCGCATATTTTTAGGGCGAATGAAGCTGGCCAGGAAGGCCAATCTGCTTCTCGAGGATAAGCAGAGGTAAACCCAAAGGAGTATTTGCGGGAGAGCAGCGGATTGGAGACGAACATACTATTGCCCAGAACTAACAGACATAAGTTACTCGTTGAAGGGTTTCAAAAATTGACATTAGAGAACTATAATGCCCTTCACGTGGTACACATGGCGCAAGCCAATAATCTTGTCTAGGCAGGTTTGGAATTTGCGCAGACAAAGACGCCCCAGCGTTTGAGTGCAACACGAAGGTAATGTAAGAGCCGTGCGCAAAGTCTCAAATCATAGATATGTTGGTCATTATCGTCGTGAGCAATTCGCTGCGGCCATTTAATGCACGGCCTCAAGCATTCCAGATGCTATCGCAGTTCTTTTCATGAACATGATTTTTCAATGCTTGTTACATGAGGTGCTCATGCAAACCTCACGAGCATAAAGTCCACCTCCATGGCCTATACCCGGAAAATCAATTACAACGCCACCAAGCAAGACGTATCTGTATCGGCAGATCAGGAAAACGCATTGTAGCCCATGACTACGCACTGAGTAGCATTCGAATGCAGCAGCAGAAGCACCCATATACAAATGTGAAATTTGCATCTTCTGCCCAAACGGTCAAACTGGAATGCATAATGGGCCGTGTGGTGAATGAAATGTTTGAGAAAATAGTAGCACAGCTTTGCTTCAGCTCTGTGCTGGACTGTGTGAAGGCAAAATTATTTCTTTACTTAGCGTATTTGTCTTATTTTTAGTTTTGTGCGTTGCGCTAAACCTGTTTTGGAAATTTGGAACTGGCTTGAAATAACAAATGTTTCAATCTTCAAGACCACCTACGCATACCCCTTTCCGTGGACTTTCCAGGACCGCAGGACCATCGAGCTACGAGGGCGCCAGAGAGGCACACCCGCACGACATCTCCCTCTCTGGTAGTGGGATCTCCAACGTGAGGAGGCTGCCCAACGACCACGACCAGCGACTCACAAATGAAGTGTTATACCGAAAATGACTGTGGCGTGTTGGCGCACGGAAGTCCATCATGCTCATGCCCGGCAGGAGCCGTCACCTCCACTGTTCTCGGTTTGCCAGGGTGTCTGGCAATTCAAAGGCCTACAGCGCAGTCGAGCGACTGAATGGGGTAGCAGAAGCTACTGGTGGCCACTTTCTGGCGGTGCTGGATGTCGCGCAATGCAGTGAGAATGCTTTACAGATGCTGCGCTGAGTGCAATGACACTAGTAAAAAATAGGCCAGATGACACAGTCCTGACACAGTTTGCTCAAAATCCAACTGTGTACTTTCGGCAAATGTGGTCCCAAAAGTGCGCAGTTGGATTTTGAGCAGACCGTGTCAGACTGTGTCATCTGGCCTGTTTTTTACTAGTGTGATTTCAATATATTACGAACAGATTTTGCTTAAAACCTGTGGAAAAATGTGTCAAGGCAAGTTGTTGTTTTCTTCAGAAATCATTTTTCTGTGGTAGTTTTGTGTGCTGCACTAGACCTGTTTTGAAAATTTAAATGTTCCATTCGTCAGGACCATCCACATGCGCTTCTTGTTGTGGACCTTCTCAGGGCCGCGCCACCATCCAGACACGGGGGCGCCAGAGAGGGAGACGTGCATGAACTGTGCCATTCTGGTAATGGGCGCCCCGACCTGAGGAGTGCCCCCAAGACAGCGAAAGTCAGTACATAGATGGCATCAAACCAAAGTCCAAATGGCCAACATGGCTTACTAACGTAGACACACAGAGGAAAACGTGCCAGAAAGCGTTTGATCATCTGAACTTGAAGGCGCAAGAGGGCATAGACACGAGATGTCTGTTTCTTCTAGAAGAGTTGCTGCAGCTCTGAAAGGATTACCAGCGACGAAATTAATTCTCCTGAATTGAGTTGCTGTCAATGTGGGCAATGAATTGTAAAGTGTCAGTTTTTTTCGAATATCGTCGGCGCCCTGGGAAGGCGAGATGCTTGCCAAGAGCAGATTTTGTAAATGTTTCGCATGTTGTGCTAGGGCTGTGCTTAAGTAGGCAATACTGCACTTCGCCTCGGAACTTCGATGCATACACCCTGGCGATTATCAACGTGCGTATAGTGATGCGCAGTAGCCGGACCTTACAGTCGCTGATACTGGGCACACTCTACCCGTGTAACGAACAGCTGTGGAAGGCAGATTTGGACTCCCAGAGCACAAAAAGTAGACAAAATGAATACCAGGGACTAGGGTGATGAATTCCTCAGAACCAAATAGGGAATTATTAGGACTCTTTTACAAATGTATGGCTAGGGTTTTTAGTTGCCATTCTAAGCTGAAGGCTGTTTTGCCAAAGCGCAGTCATAGACCCGCGGAGTTGCGGCAGTGCAGCGGTCCGGGAAAAGGAAACTGTGCGCTGATTACAAGACTCGACACCCCGTGAGACCCCCTACATTGTGATGCACTTCGAATTATTTCTTTGTGCCTTCCATCACTTTGTGCTTCACGCATTGCCTTCTGCAGGTTGCAGCAGCCTCCTCCATGGTGTTGCGTACAGGGCCGGTCATCCAATCACATCTAATTTTGTCTATGTTATGTCATGAGATACCATAACGCACATGGCCGCTTTGAGTCGAGGGCGCTAGAGATGTGTGCAATGTTAGCATCTCCAGTGGCCTGCGCTGCAACTGCAGGACGCTCTCAGTACTTCAATTAACCAAAAGGTCAGATGAGTAGGGCTTGCTTTCGACGGCCACCCATACAACACTCATCCAAAACCCTCGTTGTCATGACCATCACATGGGGGAACAGGGAGCCGAAGGTTGCTTCACAGCTGCAGCCTTGGCAGCGACGTCTCCGTGAACTGCTGAACCACCCAAACGGCTCAGTCCAAGCTGCCAAGGGCCATCCAGATCTTTTGAGAGGCGTTGGATGCAGCATGCAGACTGGTGAGCGTCTTTACGCAGAGCTGAATCAATACGAAGCTAGTTTGTATTCATCCAATATTACTTCATAGAATACTTCATAGAATACTCCACAGAATACTTCTACTGAAGTACATAGCATGAAATCGACATTGTGGAAGTATCGCTGCTGTCTACAGTGCTGTGGGTCGCTCTTGCGCCTCATGAGGACTGAGAGGAAGGATGTACTCTCTGCTAACGATTTGCTGTGCGGCGCGAAGGCCATTCGAATGTGACAGGCTCGCCCTGAATTGGTGCTGATCAACGCTCAGGCGTGATATTTGCGCCGTGAAAACTGATCATAGTACGCAGCACTATGATTACGCTTTTATGTGTGAACAGTCGTCCAAAATACGCAAATACAACGTAAATACACCCTTGTGTACATAAAGACAGTACATACAGACATACGGAGTCCGGGGAGCGGCAGCGAGACGCACTAGAATGGGCAGAGAACGAAATATTGCTCACCTGCCAAGGGCGAGGTGGACGCGTCGTTGTGGGTGCTCCAAAGGGGAGTACCACTGCACACGACTTTCACTACGTAACTTGCGTTTCCCAAGTAGCCATACAAGCGTAAATACAGCAGCAAAGACGACGAAGTAAAAACGCAAACGTAAATATCAGGCTTGTCCATTCGAACATGAGGGAGCCCGCTTCATATCCATGCCGTCAATGCGCAGCTATACACTTTTAGCCGATGCATACATTGGGCAAAACTGTTCGTTGGTGGCAAAAAGCGATAGGGTATCACAATACGACTGGGAAACCTCGCGAAATGCGGTCCACGCTGACAACCTGAACCGCTGCTCCAGCACTCAAGGAATCTGCCAGGACTGTCCACATCTTCACCAAGGAGACAACAAGTGCCAAACACGCACCGGTAGAAATCGTCTCAGTTACTGCCAAATTTTACAGACCAGCTTTAAGTAATGGAAAAGTCGTCAGACGCCATTGAATCTATCAAAGGCCAAAGCCTAGCTGGCATCACACTTGGACGCCCTGCCCAACCCCTACTTTAGCCCTGAAAGCAGGCCCCGATCAGGTTCTAGTTCCTGTTCCGCAGCACGTCCCCGGCGCTGAGTTTCACCAGAGGGCAATCAGCCAAGATGAGGCGCCTGAGGAACCTCGCAGGCTCCAAATTCACCAAACCCGCGTCCGTGATCCCACAACAACCTGTCAAATCTAGAACGGCTAGCGCAGGCAACCTGCCCAACGGGCCAATGGCTCCATCCGTGATTTCAATGCAGTGTGCCAGATTTAATTCCGTCAAGGACGTAAGCTGTTCGAGCTTCCTTACACCAGAATCCGTGATTGCTGTGCATCCACTCAAGTTCAAATGCGCAAGGCACGGGAGTTCCGATAGCAAGTACACGTCCTCATTTGAAAGGCGCGTACACATCCGAAGGTCCACCTTCTTCAGTGCTGTTATGTCACGCAGGCACTGTAACCCTTTTCCCCTGATGTTGGACGAGAAGGAAGTTAAAGCTGTTAAGGCGGAAAGACCAATGAGGTGGTCAAAACCGCCGAGGCGTTGATCCCTATGGAGACGCATATCTACCAAGTGCGTCAGCTGTCCCACAATCTCAACCTGGTCCCTGGACAGACTTCCAAGCAGAAACAGCCCTAGTTTACGCAGCCCTGGGAGTTGACGTAATTGCATGCTTTGGTTGGCTCGTAGCTCAGGGAAGTAGGCCAGGGATAGAAAAGGGATGGAAGCGAGGCCCTCCAGATCCAGCATTTCCCTGTCATGTACTGCCAGATGCAGCTCGGCAAGTTTTGTCAAATTGCTGAAGGGGTCCGTATTCCTTTCCATTGTCAAATCGCAGAGCTCAATGTCAAGTGCCACAAGCTGTGCCATTGTCCGCAGCCACTTTGCAGAAACTTTGCATCGCTTCAACACGAGCCTCACCAACCTGCGCATCAACGCCAAGTTTGCCAAGCCTCCACTGGAGACTGCGTGGGTACTGCGGTTTTGCTGGTCGTCACCTCCATCGAAACTGAGCTCGGTTAGAGACTGGAGTAGTACCAAGCTGGCAATACCCCCATCTGTAACTTCATTGCCAGCGCCAAGGGTGAGTTCAGTGAGAGATGTCAAAGTGGCCAACTTGTGCACCCCTGCATCGGTGAGCCCATGCGCTGGCACCAGCTCTAGACTCACCAAAGTCGTCATTGCCACCACACCTGCCATGGCCCTGTGCACCCCATTGCCAGGGCAAAAGTGAGCCTTCAGATGCTTCAGGCAGAATGAGCCTGCCAGCAGCTTGAAATCGGCACCTGTTGCACCTTCAATAGAAATGCTTTCCACAGCAGTGAAATACCTGCGCAGGCGTTTGACTCTGTTCTTGAAGTTTCTGTTGGCTTTTAGATCCAGGCTGGTGATGAAAGGTGCAGCCCACTGGCACCATCGGCAGTTTACCCGGCGCGCACGCTGGAGGAACATATTCCTGTCATCTCCTACGAAGTGCTCCTTCACCATATCCAATATCTGAGGAAATAGGTATTCCCAATCTTGCAGCATTTCGCATTCCTGCTGCACCAGATTCCCAACTGTCTCTCACCACCACCATGATTCGTTGTTAATATTACAGATCAGACTGCAAGGGGCATCAGCACCAGCACTCTGTCTTGTGCTAGCTGTCTCCAAATGCATCCATAATCTCAAACCTAACTCTCAAGTGATGCCTGTATATGGCAGTATGCCAGAACACATGAACACCCCCCAATCTTATGACTCAACACCTAAGACACAGTCATGCAAGGCAACGGAATGTCCACAGCCAAAGCAACAAGGCTAGCCCTACTGCTTGTTTGTGTGCCATGCAGGGCGGGCACACGATGCTGATACAGTTTTGCATCGGATAAAATAAAATCTGCATTGCATCTGAAAAGAATGTGGCGAAGAATGAGGTGCAACTTGGCTGATCAATCAGTAGATATTCATTCCATTAGCAATTGCACTGGAGAGCACCATGCCTAACAGCAAGGGTCCATTGAACCAACAACTGGGCAATATTAAAAGACACCTCTGGGTCTCAGACAGTGGTAAGGGGCAGGACGTCAACTACAATTCGCAAAAAACACCCTGTGCGGTGTGCAACCCAATCCCACTGTCCATAATACACAGGCAAAAATGGAAAGCAGTATGATTAGAGCAGCAAAAGACGCAATGTGTGTTAATGTTCACGCCCTCGCTGCAATACATGTTACCTCTTCAATTGCTCACAATGAGAGCCAGAGGTCACAGTGGCAGTGGAATGGGATTGTGTAAATCCATAAATTACACTTGCCCAACAGTGAAGCACCCTTTCAAGAAAATGGTGAACAAAGTGACTTAAAGTACTAGCAAAGTGCCAATTGTTCCCGAAAAGTGGTGGGATGGCCAATGGTGTGGATGGGTGTGCCGCTGGTGATGTGTAATCCCCTAAAGTACAGGACATACTGCAGAATATTCAATCCTATGTAAAAGCTGGATCAAACTGGGACCCCCAACTGCTTCAGGTCACACATCGGCTTGCGAAGGGTGCCACAAACTGCCCACCTGGGAGCTCCCTCCATGGGAATTTTCTCCCTGTTGTCCTTCCATCGAAGTGGATTCAGTGCAGTTCTGTGAAGTGTGAACAAGAATGACCATCAATTCTTACAAAGCTCAACACCTTTGATGTGTTCAACCAAAACATGGATGCGGAGCACCGGTGGGCAATGCATCAGGTGTAACAAACAGCTTTTGGGTCACCAGTGAACTTTAGAATTCTCAAGCAGTGGATTTGTTCTATATGAGCCCAAAACCATGGGCATGTGCAAGTGCAGAAAAACACAATTTGGCAGGAAACCAAGCCAAATGCACAATCAGAACAGGATAAGAACTGTACCCAGCAATGGAAGCTCCTCCAAACAGGGACATCAAACTCTCAATCTAGTTGAAGTTTTAGTGGTACTGAGGCATGGGCTGTGCAGCAATGCCGGCAGCACTAGAATCGCCAGACATACCACCTACAATATTGTGGTGGTTGCCAGCCGGCTGCCAAAGGCCCACTCCACTCACCCCAGCGAGACCTTCACAAACTGTAGCAGGAAATTGCATCACCATTGCAATGTGCATTCAAGACATCAACACAACAGAATTCCATGCTGCATTCTCATGACTGCAAGTGCAACCCTCGCCTTTCTTTTGCTCCCAAGCCTTTTAGCAGATCTCCGCCAGTGAGCAGCACTCAGTAATGTCACAGCTAGAGCTGTCAAGGCTATTGAGCCCAACATTCCAAACACCGCAACATATATGTTCACATTTCTAGTGACATGTGTCTGCTCTTCCTGCAGCAGAATCAGCACAGCAACCAATAACTAAGCTGTTGTTCATGTGTACATGGCAACAGCACCAAAATCCACACAGCATTTCTCCAAGGGGTGCAGTTGCAACACTTTGATCCTGACCAGTTCTGCAGTAAACTTGGATGCTCTGTACAAACTCCATTCCAAACAGCAAACTGGCAGTCACGGTATCACAGCCCTCAGAATCTGATTCATGTATCACATGCCCTCAGAATCTGATTCATTGTGTGCACCAAAGAAGGCACCCAACAATGAGGGCATTCTTGGGATTTCCATCTCAATTTCCTGAGATATCTGGTGGCCGATAAGGACTGAATTGCATTTTCAGTAGCACACAGATGGCATTGCTAAGATAGTGACTTCTGACTTCGACACTGGATCCACATAGGCTTTTGGCTTTCTCACCGGTCGTGTCATGTGTACCCAATCTTTGGGCAGGTGGCCACTTTATGGGTTTGCACACCGGGGAACAGTGTACCCTATTTGCAAGCAGCTCAGGCAACTACCACCACTGGCAACTGCTGGACAATGACACCACTGACCACTGTCACAAATTGGCACCAGCCAAAACCTCTGTGCGATTCGTCAGATTTAACTGATCCGATCCCGTGAGCTGAAACTTTGTGCGTTTTGCGCCTGCTGATCCAGCACCTGCACCTTTGTAGTACATCATGTGTGTGTATGTATGTGTGCATACATTTAGGTAGAGCTGGGCATGACAACCGCAGCGATATTGCACAGCATGCCTGCTTTCAACAGCACCCCTTGGTGAGAATTACTTGCAACTGTTGTCCATTTGCAAGCAGGTATGCCACTGGGGACTGTGCAGGCAATTGTCCCCAAGGCAACAGTTTCATGACCACGTCTGTATAATGCCGCTATTGCCTAATAAGTGAAGTCAGAAGCAGCTGCACTGTAAGGAGTGTAAAATGGTGGAATGACAGCTGAATGCAGCAGTGTTTGCAACAGTACCCTGCAAAACAGATGTGGTATGTTGTTGCAATCCTTTTTTTTCTGCAACAAGCTGTGTGGAGCTAACCAAAAGCTATCGTGTCGATGACTGTACCCATACAAACACACAACTTTCGCAATTTAAGCACCTGCCCACTGGCTCCACAACACAGCAACGACTAACAACACATCTTCCGGGGAGGCCTTCAGTCGGCAAATACTACATGCAGTTCACATAGTCATGACCCACTGCCATGAATACGGCCTGATGAGATTACACTGTAGATTTCTTTGGCCGTACATTTGGAGAGTCTTGCAGCTTGTCTAGGTCCATGAATCGGGTTCCTGGAGATCTTCCTGTGCTGGATCCTGAATAGGTGCACAAATTGCTTTATGACTTGGCTCTACATACAGTGGGTGATGCAACTCAATACCACAGCACTGGTGCATAATGCTGCAAGCTGTCAAGGCAAGGTGGTTGTGAAGTTTCCCGGAATCTGGACATTCAGAATCCAGCTGCAGAATTCACTTGGAACTCCATTTTGGTGGAAGGCAAAATCTTTCCAAGACACTGCTGTGGAATTGAAATGCCATAAATGCCTGTTACTGGGTGGACGCCGATCTTGTCCAAAGCATGTGGCAGCAATCCCCCACAGCAGATCTCCGAAATGTGAATCGACAGCATTTTGCACACAGCAGTTACGATGCTCTTGAAGCCTTTTAACATGCTCAGGTTGAAGCTCTCAACTTCAGGAAAGACAACTGTGCAAGTAGATACAGAAATTGCTGCACACAGCAGTATGCAATAGTTGAAAAGGTCTTGCTCAGAAGTTGGAAGATGCTGTGGATCAGTCACACACGGGTGGTCTCCCCACAACCTGGTCCAAATCGCCGGGACAGCAATGCGTACAGCCAATGACACACGCAGCCACTTCTTTGAGCAGAACGGGTCCACAATCAAGGGCGAAAAGTCGGCGTTTGGACAGCTTTGTACCTGCTACAACATGTCGTAGAAGGGCTCCAGACAACCTATGGAACATTCCATTGAAAGACTTGCCCTAACATATCAGCAATAGCGGTTCATAGCACTGTGTGCTTGTGTTGCGGTTACAGCGTGGCCTTTACTGGATGGTCTGGGAATGCCCCTCTTCTTCCGAAGCACCCACGTTCCTCAATCAGGGATTCCCACCCGCAGATGCGAGTTCACAATCCGGTTGGATGTTGACTACTGTCCTGATCGAATCTGCGCCACTCGCAATATACCGTACAAAATGTCGCCCGTTCACGTCTACTGGACGGTTTGCAAGGTTGACCTTGCTGGACTGTGCGGTCTTTCCAGCTTCGCTTCACGCGGCAAACCCGAGTCGAGCCCGAGTCGAGGGCGACAAGGGCAGCCATCCTGAGAACGGACCGCAGAGTACACGGCGAGATCTCGGTACAGCCACTGAGACGTGCGACACTCACTTTGCGTGCGCAGTCGCCTCCAAGCAAGCCAATGACGTGTAACGACAGGCAACGACTGCCAACAGCCAAGGGCAAACCATGCCAATGGCCGAAGCGAGACACAGCGCGCCGCGCACCTTTGCACTCGGTGGGACAGGAAGGGCGTTTCCCAGGCTCTCCAGTCAAAAGGTGCACTCAGGTGTGTGCAGCGGCCACTGCTCTCTCTTCTAGGTTATCGGCTTCGCAACAACGACAAGGACTGGGGCACAGGTAGGAGGCAACAATATCTTCCAGATGTGGGCTGGCTGCCACATGGAAGGTGGAGCATCAAATGCCCCGCATCTGCACGCCACACTACGCGTGCGTCGCTGCGATCCAGAAGGGGTGTTGTGCGAGGCCCCAAATCGTCAGATATTCGTGCAGAACCGGAATCGAGATAAACTGTGTCTGGAAATAGC